TGGAGTTCAGACGTGTGCTCTTCCGATCTACACAATAAAAGAAATTTTAATATATTTAACATGAAAGAATTGTTCGATCGACAAAAATTTCTGATATATTTAACAAGAAAAATGATTCGATCGCCAAGAAATTCTGGTAGATTTAACAAGAAAAATTAATCATATTCGTCTGGTGAATCGTACAAGAATTCTGATTCGTCGATTTTCAAACAGACATACTAGTTGACTCTAACAGATTTCCTCTTAATGCAACCAGATTCTTTTTTCAGTGTGTATTTATTATATTATAACAATTGCCTCGATGTGCATTCTCAAATTTGAAGATACCAACACAGATATGTATTATATTTTGGATTTAAAAAAGCACTAAAAATGTAACTTTATAAAAATTAGATTAAAAGTTAATATTATTACTGATAAAATGTAACTAAATTAAGTAAAAAGTTAAGAATCTAAAATGTAACTAAGTTAAGTTAAAATTATTTAATTTTTTAACTTTTTAACTTAACTTTTATTTTTTTAACTAGGCACTACTCAACCCTGATTATTTTACCTCTTTAACTCAAATTTAAAGTAGCCAGACCTTTACAAGACGAAGTTTACCTCTATAAGTCGAACTTCTATTGTCGCTGCCTCTATAATTCGAAGTTATAACTATGTATAATAGCATGAGTAATAGCCTGCTATTTTGTTTTATGATTACATTTATTATATATATGCACTAAATAATTCACTGTTAAATATTGATTTTTTTTCTTTAAAAGTTATTATAATCGGAAAATTATAAACTCTCGTACAAAACCTCCGTAAGTCAAATTTTCATATTTTAACCCCCTTTACTCGAATTTCGACAAGTCGAAAACTCTGTAACACGAAGGGTTTTTCTCTTCCCTTGAGATTCGAGTTATTGAGGTTCAACTGTATCTCCAGATTATTGTTGAAAAAAAAAAGAAAATTAAGGAAAAAGCGAAGAAGGAATTCTAAATCACGACAATTCAGGACACGACAAAAATTTTATTTTATATACATATGATATATATGTGTATTATTGCAAGTGTAAGGCGGAGGGGTGTAAGAGGCTGAGCGGAACAAACCCTCGATAACATCAAAGATTCATGTAGTGGCGGCGCAAGGATACGATCATCTCGATCGAATTCCCGTGGGCCGGTACTGTATTCGAGCACTGTTATAAATAAAACCGAGAGACTCCTCGTGGTGTGGAGGGCACGGCAACGAAGAAGGAAAACGTGGGCGTGCGATCCCGCGATCCCTATAGCTGATATCAATCGCGGGGATCGGTCGGCCGCGCGGGGGAACGATCCAAGCGAAACTCTCTCGATCGCGTGAACTTTATTATTTCGAGAGGCGATATTTCTTCGCCTGCTTCGTAAAACGCGCACACCATCGCAATGACGGTGTTGCGAAACTTTATCGCCATTCTTTCCGCGATATATCTTATCCGATTTATTCAATCGATATCACTCTTAATTTCGTTGTTAATTTATAGCTATAACTGCTACCCTGATTTTTTTTCTTTCCAGGAGAAGAAATCGCGAGGAAGGGCAGTTCGAGGGTGATTCTTGCCATCCGTACAACCGAAACCAGAAGTCATGGCGAGGCAACAGACCGTGGACCGAAACATTCCACATCTGCGGGACATTTTTGGCTTCGGCAGCAAATGGGAGAACGCTCGTGGCCAGGCCGAGGAGAAGGCGCCCGGCCACGATAGCGCCGTGTCGATGGGCTCCACGTCCGGCGAGGAGGAGAGCCCGAAGAACAGCAAGAAGAAGAAGTCCCGTCGCCGCGACAACAGCAAGACGCTGACGGAGAGCGACGTGAAGCACCTGGAGCGGCATCTCTCGATGAAGAAGACCATACGCAAGAAGATCATGCGCGACCTGCAGCAGGCCTTCGTCGAGGACCCAAACGAATTTCGCGTGGACGACATACCGCCGGAGCAGCTCAAGGCGGAGATCAATATCCAGAGTCTGAGCTTCGGCACGCCGTCCCAGAAGCAGGGACGCACGCGTGGCAATGCTGAGAGCACGTTCCTTGACATGCTGCGCGGCGGCGGTAAGAGATTTTGCCTGTTGCTTTATCGAAATTGATTTTTCGACCACCTTTTGACAGTCGTTTTTATAACGATAACAATAACGTTCAGGCCACTATTTAGGAAATTCCCTTATCTTTAATTCTTTCAAGATCTCTTCAAGATATAATAATTTAGAAGCTAATTTATTTTAACTTAAGGCGATGCTGGAAGGTAGAAATTACCGACACATTACAGTTTAGTAAATTTTTCTGAATTAGCTAAACGGAATTGAAAATCCTTTTACAGAGTTGAAATAGACATGAAATTGTGGTGTTAGACGATCAAATTTGTAGTAAAGTCAGAAAAAAATTAAAAAATTACATTTTTTTGGGTCGTATAGCTGACACCTAACCATAACCTGACATAAACATTTTATTAGTGTAAAAGTTCTATAGCTCATATGTACGAAATGCTTACGTCTAACACCACAGATTACATGAACGAAAAATACAAAGCCTTTTGAGCTATTATTGAAAGCGTAGAAAAAAAGATATCCACTGAACTGCAATTTGTGGTAATTCATACACTTAGCTAACAATAAGCTAAAGACAGCAAAAATTGCGTCTAGCAGGAAGTGCCAGATTTTGCAACAGATGGCACTTTAATAAGTTAGATAAGGACATTGCACGTGTTTGAGTGAGACAAAAGAGATTGTAAGAAATTCATTTAGAGATACCACTAACACCGAAAAGTCTGTTTTATCGACCTCGTGCAAATTTTTTCGACCTTCCAGCATCACCTTAAGAGGATCCTAAACCCTAGATCAAACTCCAAAAATCCGCTGTTTTACCGACAATTTGTGAGTATGTATGCGTGCGATATTGATGTAGTAGTGTGTAGTGATGTGTCATGTTTATTACCACATCAATATATCTCACGCATACATATACACAAATTTGTCGGTTACCAATATATCTTTATTTAGGCTTCTATATTTAATTCTAACGACTCACATATACTCATTTCTTTATTGTACATCTGGCTCTGCCTTCATTTCGAGCATATAACCTGCCTAACTTTTCCACGAAGTAAACGTTTTGGTAAATTGATAGCATTAGTCGCCATGTTGAGGTTAAAATGGATAACAAAATCTGTAATTATTTCATTTTTCCCGTTTTTGATACAAAATGCACCAGAGCCAGATACATTAGCATGTGTGTTTTAATCGTGGAAAAGGAAATTTTATTCTATGCGATTAATATGAAGTAATTAGTAACCAACAAAAATGGCATTTTTGTCGATAAAACAGACGGCTTAAGCATCCTCTTAAAATATTATATAATTATACTATCAATGCACAAATTATTCGACTCTTTTATATAACGAATTAAATACAAAACTTACATTACATGTAAACGCATTCGCTTGCAATTTATATTAGTTTGATGTTTTATAAAAATTTTTGTCTTGTCGTCTAGATCTTTTGGAAAGCGTTAAGGCCATGACACACAAAAATACTTAAGAAGTAAGACGTAAACCGCAAGTAAATTGACCAATCACAATCGAGACTTAAGAGCGCCATTTTAAAACTTGAAATTTAAGAAGTAACGTTGAAAAAATCCGTAAGGATGAAATTTTAAGTATTAAGTTTCACGGTCAGCCAATTAACAGATTAATATATATTCTGATTTCGATCCTAACCTGTCTTCTTTCTCTTGTGACATTGTATCGCTATAATTGTTTAACATAATTGCAAACGTGTAGATTTTTATCAGTAATTATTTTTCTTTTTTAAGTAAGTATTGAATTACGTAATAGTTATGAAAACTTTTATATATAAGTAATTCAATATTTATTATGTTCGATATTTTCTTATAAAATTAGTGCTTAATAAAAATTATACATTTTATTTCTAAGACTATAATTTTGTAAATATTAATTTGTTTTAGCTCTGAGGCTTTCAAAAGTTTTTGCCAACTTTAATATATAATGTTTATACTTTCAAATATAATACAAAATTTCGGTTTGTGGTTTCATTAAATTTATTACAACGGTGTGTATTATTTCTTTCGTACTTTAATAATACAAAAATCATATCAATACATCTTTGAATTAATTTTAAATAGAACTGAACGAAATGCATTTTCATAGTACAGTCTCGTTTAATTTTATTTGGAATTAATTCATGTCTGTCATTTCTGGGAAAATTGCATATGTTTAATAAATCATCTTTTTTCAACAAAATTATTCGTTTTTTTTTTTAAATGGACAATGAAGAGGATATGTTGGCATTAATTATATTAATGATTGGTTTATACGTGTTGCAACAAAAATTTTTTCGACGGATTAATCGAAATTGTTGGGTACGTGCAATTAACATGAGACGTCCCTACCAATAGATTTTTATCATCTATTTCAAGAAATGGAAGAAGATCATGAAATGTTTTTTCGTTATACGAGAATGTCTCCGGATATTTTTACGCAATTACTAGAAATGTTAAAACCATTTTTGATAAAAAAGAGTTACCGAGCATTAGTTCCTGAACAACGCCTTGCTATAACTTTACGGTATGTATTTATTAATATAAAGGAGATTAATTAAGTATTCAATTAAGT